AATGTACTATGTTTTGACAAAATTGTAATTATCTTTTTTGAGACGTTATGCCTTTTTTTCTGTTAAGCCAAGAGCTACAGGCTTCTCTGAACAAAGTACGAAATCACCTGTATATTATATCAGAAATGAAACACAAGGAAAATTTGGATCTTTTAATTATTGATTAAGGGCCTAAGAAAAATAGGAGGGGGTTTCAAGGCACCCTTAGGGCCTAGCTATCCATGTATATCATTGTCCCCTCAGAGGAAGGCAAAAAGACATTGACTCTAAGGTGTAGGAATACACCCAGAAAAGGCACAGCAATGATTCACTACAGAGAAGGAGGTGGTTTGTGGGGGAGTTGATGATAGGATGGAATTTGGGTTAGGTATTAATGGAGAAGGAGAGATAACAATGGTATTGGTGTCCTGAGATCTTAAACAAATCAATATACTTGTCCATTTGGTTTCTTTACTGGCAAGACAGGAATGTTACAAGGGTTAGTGCAGGTTATGAAAAGGACCTTGATATGAGGCTCTCAACTATAAATTTGAGGCTTTTCTTGCTCTAGCTTCTAACTTTGGGGAAGTTTGGGAATTTGATAAGATCTATCTGAACTTTCATAGACTCTGTTCCAATTATTTTTATGTCAATGGGAATTTTAGCCCATGAAGAGTCAAGTACAATGCCAAGATCTGTAACAGGAGCATACATCAAGGATAGTGGAGAAGGAAAGTTTTATATAGAGCAGACACAAGTTGATTAGGAATTGATACATCCACTGAAACCTCAAAAAATAGTCCCTCTGGTGTGCAATTAATATTACAGTTTTATTTGCAAAGTAGATCTCTCCCTAATAAATTTGTAGATGTGGTATCACAGAGCAGGAAGAAATGTTTTTCAATCCAGGATGCAAAAGTTGTAGTCAGGGCTGGGATATAGGGACAAATCTGTGAGTTGTTTGAAATACTTATACTTTTGTTCTATGTTCACTCCAAGGAAGAGGTTGAGCAAAGATGGCAGGATTTGATGTAGAACAATTAGTGTTGTTGGAAGATATTTTCTATTTATCCCCAAATCTCCTATAGTTTCATTTTTCTATTTGTTTGCATGATTAAATTATGATCCAATCAACTTTTATTAGCAGTGTTTCAGATATGGCTTTTAGGAGACTTTGAATTATTTTTCTGACCCTAAGGTTTTTTGTGGAGGATCCTGGAGGTCCCTCTCCGGGTTGGTCCAATCAGCTTTTGTCATCCAGGATTTAGCATCTGTGGTTCTGATCAACATGCATACAAGTTGATATAGGTCAGGCAACTCTGGATCATGTGCATCCAAAGAATTACAAATTCTTCTATGAATCTTTGCTCAGTCTTGTTTAGGTTTAGGGAAATCTTTCATTATAGCTCTTAATTCATCTTGGATCCAAAGTTTAAATTCTACAGTCACCTGCATATCTGGCTTATGGGAGGGATAGACTATTGGAGGCAACTAGCATTTGGAGGTTTTAGAAAGTTGCTGAGAAAAGACCGAGCAGCTGGACAAGGGGAAGAGGAAGGAGGAGGTGCAGAAGGAGGGACTTTAGAGGGATAAGGGGGAAGTGAGAGAGCTGGCCACAGGAAGGCAACTGGAGGACTTGGAGGGGGAGGACTTACTATGGAAATGAATCTAGAGTATTGGCTAAGCTTGCCAAATTTCTCATTAGCTTTGACCAAAGAATATTTTAGTAAAGCAATTTTTGAACACAATTCATTTAATCCAAGATTCCATTGGATCTGAGAAATCTTTATTCTTTTTCTTTTCTAAAGCACCTTTCAAATAAACAATTTTGGTCAAGGCCAGTGTTCCACAGAGTGGCCATTGAAGGCTCAGGTCATCCTTGGTGAAGTGTCACCATTTGAAACATAGGTGCAGGAATTAGAATTGTAATGAGTGGACATATAAGAAGTTGGAGCTTCTCCAAAAGGAAGAGAAGAATTAGACTTAGCCAAGCCTGTAAGAGTTAGCAGCTGAAAGTGATGCTTGTGCACCGTGAGTCTTGAGACCCCAACTTGAAGGTAGCTGCCTCCAAATGTAGATCCAACAACCTACACCTGCAGGCAGGTGGAAAACCAGAGAGAATGTTCTCTGTGGATCAAAGCCAAACTCTAAGGGCAAAACAATTGAAACAAAGGATAGCCTAGTTTTATAGGTGATCCAAAGCAAAGTTTGTCCAAAAGAATGCTGGACCAGTGTTCTACTCTATAACAAACAATACTTTTGGACAATATAACACAAAACGGAAGCAGGAAAGAGAGCAAAAAGGGGTGAAAAGTAATGGCCGGACTCCACCAAAGATGCCAAATAAATGGGAACCAACAGCAAAACCCAGTTATCAAACTGAGATGAGATAGCCAAAGAACTCAAAAGCAAAGAAAGCAGAGCTCAGACACGGTGCTCACTCACCATGTCAACACATACCCAACACTGCAAGCTGCAAGGCATGAGGGGCCTTGGTGTGTAGCACACCTGGTTAAAGGTTGGAGTCCATGGCGACAGGTAATACAGACAGTATCTCATTGGAGCCTTCAGGAAAACTATGGAAATAAGAAAGACCACTCAAATGAAAACAGGTTATTTATTCAGAGCTTGCTTGCTATAGCAAGCCACCATCACCTGCATTTGGCCAAGACTCAAAGGCAGGCAGGGGACAGGGAAAGCTTTATAATGAAAAAAAGGCAAGGTTTCAGAATACTCTGATTGTATCTTGGTGGCATAGAGAAGCTGCAAGTAGGCTAACTTGAAGTGGGGTATTTTTATGATTTGCAGAGCATATTTGGATTCCTCCGATTGATCTTGAGTTGGGAGCAGAGGCAAAAATTGGGGAAGTTGGCAGTCACTGACCAAGTCCTGATTGTTCTGGGCCATTTGCTACAAAGACTGTGGTTTGGCTTCCTAGACCGGTTGCTGTAAAGTTTGGGGTCAGAGGTCTGTTATCATATATGGTCTAGCCATTGTGTGTTCATATATTCGGCCTGTCACAGTGGAAGCTTGGCATTGTAGATATTCTACAAGCCTGATTGATGGACCATATTTAACTTTTTAGCTGTTGAACTAGGAGTCATACAATAACAATATTTGGTCATACAACATGTTAAACTTTCTAATAAAATTTCAAATACATTTTCTCCCCCCCCACTCCCTTATCCTTACAGCAACCTTGTAATCCTGGGAGGTTAAATGCCCAAGGTCATTCAATGGAATGAGGATTAGATCATAGTATAATTTGTAATATATAATTCAAATTGTTATATATGTCATCTATAAGAGCTTTAAAATAAATATTTTGAGTTCTTTGCTAAGATAAAGGATCTGTTCTAATCACTTCTAATTTCAATGCTTAAAGTTAGGGTCATAGCTCCCTCAAATACTTACAAGGCTGTCATGTGGAAGAAGGATTAAGTTTATTCCTATGGCTCCAGAGGGCAGAACCCATGCCAGTGAGTGGAAGAGAGGCAGATTTCAATTTAGAATGTGAAATATTGTTCTAATAATGAGACACTTGCCCCCAAAAGAAGGAGTTACCTTGTGAAAAATCCAGTTCCTCATCTCTTGTGCTGAGTAGGACTCCATGACCCTCTAGCTGTAGAGAGTGCTTGAACTGGCCAGGCCAGCTAACCTTGAAGGACTTGATAAACTTCAAGTTTATGAAATTTTGTTAAATTCTAAAAAGAGGCATACGCATTTTAAATATAGCAGTTTAATGTCATTCAAATTCTGGATGAAATTATTATATTCCTTAAAACAATGAGCTGCACTTTAAACTTTACCCCCAGACTCCTTATTTTTGTCGTTATACCCATACATTTTCAAGAACATTTATTTAAAAGTGAAAATTGTCCTAATAAGGACTCTCTAACTCAATCTGCCATCAGCACTGTTTTCTGATTGCACAGTTATAAAACATTATACCAAATGTATTGAACTCATTTGTGATATTTTAATAAATTATAGAAATTCAGTGACGTTAAAAAAAAAAAAAAGAAACCTGGGGTGCCCGGGTGGTTCAGTCGGTTATGCCTCAGACTCTGGATTTTGGCTCAGGTCATGACTGATCTCAGGGGCCTGAAATCCATCCCCGAGTGGGGCTCTGGGCTGGGTGTGGACCCTACTTGAGATTCTCTGTCTCCCTCACCACTACCCCTCCCCCTTCTTGCTCTTTCTCTCTCAAATAACTAAATAAATCAAACCCTCCCTTTGAATGGTAAATAGTAGGATTTTAATCTGTAACTTAATTCTTTGAACACGATCTTTTCTTCTTCTGGCTTCTCTTTAAATGTTCCTTCAGATTGAATGCGGTTATATTACTTTCTAGTTTACAAATAACTTGAAGTTGAAATAAGAGAGTAAGTTCTCTTCTACACCTGAACGGTGGTTGTTTGATGTTCCCCAAGGACTTCCCAGGGATCCTCTTCCCACCTCACCCCTTATCTGCCTCTTCCAACTGTTTAAATCAAATCCCCTAAGTTTTGCCAGAAGGAGAGTTCCTTTTAATGGGCTGTGGTTTCTCTCATTTGAAAAACAATTCAGAATCCCAGGGCTTCTCCCAGAATCTAAGAAGTCATTGCAGAGGTAAAGTAGGCAAGAAGTTGGGGAGGACGGAAAGAAACCGCTGCAGAAAGCCAGCTTCACTGAGACGTCCTTGACAACTTCTGGGACCAGATTTCAGGAGTGGTGGAAATTGTCTTCTTTACCCTTTCTCTTCAGTTTTTATGACTGTACATATTTAAAAGGGACACAAACAGTGAGGGAGAGAGAAAGCGATGGTGTGAGGCTCTCCCTGAGAATAGAAGATGATAAGGAAATAAAACAGGTGTCTGGGAAGGGGTTCTGTTAGAGAAGGGAGAACTGTGTAAAGTTAGCAACCATCATTCAAACGGGCAGTTCTCTGCAGGTAGCAGACAGGAAAAGCAAACTCGTGCACCCTCTTTGGGGACAGGCTCTGTGGCTTTCTGTTTCTTCGCTTGCAGTCAGGGTGCACGTTTACTTGAAACAGACTCTATTTCCTGCTTCGTGGCTAGTCAGGTTGACTCTTCAAGACTAGCGAATATTTCTGTTTTAATGTCTCTAATGCCTTTTTAAATTTATTTATTATTATTTTTTTTTTGAGATTGAGTAGGGAAGAGATCTGTTGAAATCCTGACTGGGTAAGTGGGGGATTATGAGAAATGAGAAAATGGGAAGGAAAAGGATTTAGAAGCCGGAGAGCAAAACAGTAGCCCCAGGCCCCCGTACCCCTGGCCGGCGACCTCCCGCGGAGACCCCAGGCGGCTGCATCAATATTTGATCAGTCCTTCGCCCGGGGGCTGCCAGCACTCGCCAGAGGGGCTTGCCAGGCATCACCCGCGCTGCGCTGAAGCCGGCGCCCAGGCTCGCAGGGGGGCTTTGGAAGGACCCGCTCTGAGCTCGCCCCCCCTCGCCAGGGAGGCTCTCCTTGGTGGCAGGGGCGCGGCGCCCACCATGCGGGACTGCCCACGGCTCGCGCTGCTCTGCGCGCTGCTACCCTGGCTCCTGCACGCGGCGGCACCCCGGCGACCCGCGCAACCCCTCCCGAGCCGCAACCCCCGCGACCTCGCCAGGGGCTTCGATTTCGATCGCGTCTACAGCGGGGTGGTGAGCCTCACCAAGGAGAACACCTACTCCTTCAACTACACTAGCCAGCCGGGCCAGGTAAGACTCTCGCTCTCCTCTCTCGACTCCCAGGAACTTGCCAGATCTCAGAGCCCCGTCGCTGCTTTGGGTCCCTTGGGAATTGACCTCGGGAGTCCTCGGGGACCAGCGGCCCCTTGTTCCCTTTTCCCTTCAAAGCAATCACTGTCCTGCCCCGGGCTGCCGCATTCTCCCGCAACCGGCCTCTGGGACAACTCCGGTTCTTCTCGTACCTTCCCTGGCCTGATCCCCTGGCATTTCGGGGCTTTGCAGAGACGCAAGTTCCCTGCACCTTCTGTGGCTCCTGGCCCCCTGCTGGGCCTTTCTCCAGGAAACTCGAGATTTCTATGGTTGCGGAGGGAAAGGACCTCACCTCTGTTCCTAATACCGGGGAGAAGGAACCTCATTTCATTTGGATGATTCTGCCAGACCCTCCTATTTCATAGCGCATGGGGAGGGAGCGCTGCTCAGAATCTAAAACAGGAATGTGTGAGAATGGACGCAAGCTGCAGAGCGTGTGTTCAGTAGTCACTTCCTGCGATTCTGTACTACTGTCACACATCCGTGCTTCAGAGAAGCCCCAAGACCTGGCCAGAAATGTTGCAACTGCAGCTGGCCACCGATCTCTGGAGGTTTTGATGTTAAATAAGAATGGGTAATTGTGGGAAAGTTCTAGACCTATTTCTGACAAGGATCGAGGTGAGACAGGGGAGGAAATGACTGCTCCGGCAACTATCCCTTTGACACATATACTCTGATTACATAATGTAGAAAAAAGTTCATAGGTGGGTTTTTCCCTCTAATATGGTCCCCTCTGGGGCACAGAGAAAAGGGAAGACTCCCCAGTGTACCTGCATCTGGATCTTCTTCCCATATAAATGTGTATGTGTATCCCTTACTGTGCCAGCATTCCATTCCCTGCTCCCTCGGGAGATTCCAGAACCAGATGACTTGGACACCACAATAGGCCTCCCTCTCTAACTCTCACTGAGAATCAGAACTCAGAAACCTGGTAGCTTGGAGTAGTATTGAGCAGGATGGACCAGTGTGCCCACTAGCACTCCCAGTCATTTCCCAACCATGTGTATTGAACAAATTCCCCATCTCCAGTCTGGCACCAAAGGTGCTGTCGCCATGGCAGCACAGCCCTCACCCTGGTCCGTCCCCTGCTGCCCTTCAACCTGTATGTCCTCAAGTGAGCAGCGTGACCATGTGCAGAGCCATTCTACTGGGGACAAGTGAGAGGGACAGTTTTTATCCCCCTAATTCCATGCCACTCGTCTCTCTTCCTGTCCACTGTGCGGTATGGACCAGCTGACATGGCACATCAGTCGCACTCCTAGCCCTGTAATTTGCTCAGAATGAATAAATCTGAAAAAAATCCATGATCTCTGGGGTGTACTATCAGTTTCCCCCTAAATCATCGGTAAGGAAACTCAGATGGTATGTGCAAAGTGAATGCTGACATCAGGCTTTAGTATTTCTTGCACTCCTGCTTAGAAATAGATTGACTGTTTCTTAACTGTTGCTTGGCCTTTCTGCACTTGGTATTTGGTGAGTTTCTCCGCCGCAGGCACAGGTGCACTGTTCGCAGCTGGGTTACCTGCTTGATTTCCCTAGAGAAGTGTGAGATATTGAGGACAGGGGCAGAGTCATGTTCATCTACTAATGTCTTTGAAAAGTGAATAAGTGAAGAAAGATTTAAGGAAACGGTAAACTAAAACTAAATAAAATAAAATACATACTTTTGGGGGCACCTGGGTGACTCAGCCCGTTAAGCGTCCAACTCTTGATTTCGTCTCAGGTCGTGATCTCAGGGTTCTGGGATCGAGCCCTGTGTCGGGTTCTGTGACTCAGAGTGGAGTCTGCTTGGGATTCTCTCTCTCCCTCTATGCCTTCCTGCCCCTCCTCTAAAATAAATAACTAAATCTTTTAAAAAAATAAAAGATACATTTTAGTAGGTTGAAAGGGTGAGATCATTCCAGATAAAAACATTTTTAACAATTGTCATGAAATTATGCCCTTTCCATTTTGCCTGTCTACATGTTTAAATGCTTCTTATTTGGGCGCCTGGGTGGCTCAGTTGGTTAAGCGACTGCCTTCGGCTCAGGTCATGATCCTGGGGGGGATCGAGTCCCACATCGGGCTCCCTGCTCGGCGGGGAGTCTGCTTCTCCCTCTGACCCTCTTCCCTCTCATGCTCTCTATCTCTCATTCTCTCTCTCTCAAATAAATAAATAAAATCTTTAAAAAAAAAAAACACTTAGCATACTCAAAGCTTCTTTAAAAAAATGCTTCTTATTTTATGAAACAATGGTGAAAATTCGTTTTTAAAATATCTTTGCATAATACAATAAAAAGTTGACAACCCCAGGAGTCCCTAAAATTTCACTAGTCTGAGAAATACAGTTGGGAACCATGGGACTGGCAGATAACTCAACTATTTTAATTATTTTAATACTAGTATTAATCAGATGTCCCCAACTCTTACAGCTTTGAGACCTCTCTTTAGTATGCAAATAAGACAGTGGAAACCTCACCCCTGTTACTTTGGGAAATTACCCCCTCTCCCTCCAGCTGGTATTCCCATTGATTTCTCCAGAGATGGCATTTTTCTGATCTATCTAGCCAAACCATTACTCTTGTTTCTCTTGATGGCCTCCTCTCTTCTTGGTCCTGTTTGCCCCATGTTGGGTACTAGCAGCCCATCTCCCAATAACATGAAGGCCATGTTTTTGGATATAGCAGAATTTTCCTGAAGGTTTGAACTAACATAAGGGAATTGCAGAACAGCACAGGATAGGTGATAGATTAAAGCAGAAATCTAATCAATATTGTCATAACAGCTTACTAGCTATTTCCCAATAGGGTAAATTTCAAGATGGTGGCACTACTTTTTAGGCCCTGGTTTATCACCAACTTATTAGCTACTCCCCAACCCCAAATGCTGGCCTCTCCCACTCTCTAAATTTTTATTAATTCATGAGAAGCAGTTTGCTTCTATTGCAGATCCCAAACTCACTGAAGGGCTCTGCTAAATAAAGAACTATGAACCCAAGAGCAAAAGCTTGGCCAGGACCTTTTTCCTTTAACCTGACCCAAGCAGTTGGTCAGGGACCCCTCCCCTGCAGGGGTCATTTCCCACCCATCCCTCTTCAGTGCAACAAAGAATTGGGTTTAGGAAAAAAAAAGTATAACTTTTTGAGTTTTCATCTTTTTTCCTTTTCTCTTCAAGTCGTTGTTATGTTTGCCATTATTTTTTCTTCACTTTGGAGGAGAAAGCCTTTTCCCAATTTAGGCTTTGGTGAGAAGAGGAAGCTGCTGTGGGGAACCTTGGCCCCTAATCTTTCCTGCAGCCACTGCATCTCCCATACCAAACACTGACCCAAGGAACTATTTAGCCAAGCATGTGTCATGCTAATTAACTGAGGTCAGCATCAGGAAAAGCCTCACATGCCTTCTAGAAAGAGTAATGTAAATATGAAGTTGCCACTAAATATATATATATATGTATATATATATATATATCACTGAAAGAAGAGTGACTGCTTTAAAGAAAATAGTGAAAAATAACGATCGAAGGTGCAGGTTAGGCAAGATCATGGTTCATTTCATTTCCCTGAGGGGAAGTATCTGGAGACTCCTTTTCAGGGGAGTAGAGTTTCACTGTGGCGAACAAGGTGTTCTATCACTACAGGGCTGGAAATCAACTAGAAGGAAGTCACCTTGTTGAGAAAGTCACCAGGCATATGTTTGACTAGGACAGAGGGCACGAAAGCAGGTTTATTGAGAAATGAGAATACTCTTGTAGAGACAGGTGGTGGCAATAATCAGATGTTTATACTTGAGCTAGATGCTGATAAGAAGCTTTTCAATAAAAAAATCTAACTACCAGGCAACAAGAAGTCTTCTCAGAGACTTTCAGTCACAGAATTCATTGCTCACCATAGATCTTTTAATTTGAAGTGTTTCCCTGGAAATATCCCTTTTGTTTATTCAATGGAGACATTTATCTTTTAATGACATACACTTTTTTTTTATGCCCAAGGAACAATCCTTAACTTTATTCACATCAACCAGCCGTTGTCTATCTAGAACCAGTTATACTGCCTCTTGGATCCAAATTCAAAAAGCCTATCCAGTTCTCACGAACAGTGAAATATATATCAGGACACTCCAGTGGTAACTTCTAACTATACATTACTGGTTACTTAGAAGAATGAAAACCTTTGATGTGATTAGCCTCAGTTCCCTCAGTCTCGGATGGACTCCCCCTGTGTTCTTTACGTACTGAGGCAGAGAAAGCTTCTCAGCTTTCTCCCACTTCTCCCACTTCCTCTTACTGAACCGGACTGGTGCTTGTTTGTGAGGAGGAAGTCATCCCATTTGCACAGTTATCTGTGCTCATTAGCACATTATCTCTCCCTCTGCCCTTCCCCACCGCATATGTGTGCATGTGCACACGTGTGCACAAATTATGGCCTGTAAAATAAAGCAGTTTTTTGCTGTTATTGTTGTTCCAGTGGTTTCCTTTGTACTAATATATTTATATAATGCCATTAGCCTCTTCTATTTTTGTCTCTTAGTTCTCTATGATGAGCAATATTGAAATTAGCTAGTATCTTCTTCTCCATCTCTTTTTTCAACCCCCAAATCTAAACCCTAGTTATGCCTGTAAAGAAATTAATGAACTTGTTCTACTTTTCATATTTTCTCCCCATTGTTGCCCCATTTTTGGTTAGTTGTACATATCTGCATTGTCAAAGCATATAGTCATTACGAGCTAGACTATCTTCCTTACAACAAACATTTAGTCTTAGTTGTACAGGTACCTATATGTTAAAAGTTCACAGCTAGACTTACGTTAATGTCCTTTAGTCATTTGATTGTCTAAAGCTTATTCTCTAGGGGGCATCTCCTACAATTCTTTCATGTTCATAACACTTTGTCCACAGCCTTTGTACTTGCAAGTCTGATTAGCCGAATATAAACCCCTTGGCTTACGGTTTTCTTCCCTTGAGT